GGGTTCAGGAACTTCCACTAGAGTCAATCAGTTCATTAATTTGACTCCATGAAACAGCGTGAATTTAATCAAAGTGAGCCATAGCCACTGCAAAGGAATGTGATTTGATCAGAAATGTTTGCACATAATACCAAATCTCAGCCATGCCCAGCAATTAGCAATCCTGTGATAATGATTAAGAATTTGAAATAGCTTCTGAGTTCATAAATCTTTGCCTGTCTGTTTTTCAGTTGGAAGACTCAAAATCTATATTCTATTGTTTTACATATGATATTGGTATAGGCATCGGTGGGTTGAAACTGGTAGCACTGATCTTTTCCCATTTTACTCCATTTTGCCTATTATAAATGAAATAGATAAACATAAAAAAACTGGAAAATACATTAAATTGTAATGAAGAAAAATATCTTTTCTCCCTCTACCACCCAAAGATACACATAACATTTTAGTATTTCTAGTCAGGCCACACACACACATACACACACACACACACTTCCCATAAATTTACACTACTTAAAGTTTTGTATTTTGCTTTTTCACATGTTACTATAAGAGCTTTTCCCCTATGTAATTAGGTATTCTTTGAAAATATAACTAGAAGTTTGCAAAATGTTCCACATATATGTCAACATTCCCACATTATAGGGTATTTTGATTGCTATTCTCAACAATGCCACAATGAAATCCTTGTGCATAAATATTTTTTTACAAGTGTCTAAATATTTTCTTAAGACAGACCTCCAGCAGCAAAGTAACATTTTAAGATTGTGGATACACACTGCTAAACTGCTTTTCAGAAAATCGGTAAATGCTTTTGTTGGCATTACATATAGGAGGGCTGTTAGATCTCTGTATTCTTGCTCATTTTTAACAAACCAGTTAGTGAACTAGCTGGATTTTTTTAATTGTCGCCAAGTCACGCTTTCTAATGGATTCCCAGTACTTCTGCAAACATTAAGTTGTCATTTAAAATGGAAAGCTTTTTTTCCCCTAAAATGTGAAAGTAGGTTTCCATTGATGAAAAATCCCAAATGGTTATTTGATGTTGCTTGTGTTTTAAGTGTAACTTATTTCCTTAAATATGGTACCCATTTTAAATATGTGTATTATTTAGCACTGTTTACACAAAACTGAAACCAAGCCTTTGTCTTCCCCACTATGTCTTGGAACTTAGTTGGCAGCATTAATTCTAAATAAATATCTTATTTAAAATTTAGACATTTGGACAGCTATTTGACTTGGACAGTTTTCCATTATGTTGTAGCCTCTAGAATTATATTTTAATATATCAAGCTTTAGGTTTAGTTTGTAGATTTGAGAATTTTATGTATGTAGTCACTGTTTTCGTCATTTTCACCAAGAAGGCAATTTAAACTTGACTGTCACTTCCATTTGTATATAAAAGGAAAAGTAGCTATTTATAGGATATTTTAATCCAGTGGGATTTGGGGTAGAGTTCTACATATTATGTGTCTGTTCCACTTGACAGCTTCAACAAACAAAGGGAAATTTTTAATCTTATTGGAATTTCAGAGTTAGAGTAAATTTTATTTTATTCATTTTAGAAGGAAACTTTGGCTGTTTCACTGACTGTATAATTAAGGCATATACTAATTTCTTTCCCTATATTCATTTCAGTTTTACAGATACAAACCAAGTACTAGGTATTATATAAATATGGGGAATAAAAGGAGACTCCATCCCCTTCCTACACTTCCACACAGTCAAATGGAGACAAATCCCTTACTATTGATTCAGTACAATGTAACAGGCTGAGATATACAGGTGAATCTCATTTTATGATGTATTCACTATGCATGTCCGTGCCCCCAGTTAATAGGTTGTTTAGATGACAAAATCAGTAAACCATTTAAAAATTAGTTCCCCTTTAAGCATCTCTATTTATTTATTTAATACTCATTTCTGTTCCTGCCTAGCATTTCAGCATCTTTTTTTTTTTTAATTCTATCTCTGGCTTATTGCTGTAAATATTCATAAATATCAAGTAACACAAATAGATTGCAAAGTGAAACCGCAAACCTTAAAGAAAAGATGCATTTTGTCATGAAGTTAATGAAAGTGATATTGGAGAAATGCTAAATTACAACAAAGACAAATGAGCATGCGACAGAGTTAGAGCCTTAACTGAAGAAGAGAAATTGTCATTAATGTTATCAATAAGTGTTTCAAAGGAGAATAAGTTGCAGAACAACTAATTAATAATAAAGGATGTTGGTAAAAATGATAAAACCTTCAGAAATATTTTGCAAAAGTGTACTTTTTCATGACTGGGTTATCAAAGTCAAGTTAAAGATGTTATATACTTTTGTCAGGAAAGTAACAGCTTCTCCCTCATATCCAACATTCAGTTAGTTATTACAAGAATTAGAATACATGTATAATTCTGACATATATATATATAATATTTATGTTTCTAATTTGAAATCTTACTCAAGTCCTTTAAATATGGCTTACTATTCAATGTTGGTCTCAAGATATTTTGGTTATCTACTGCTGTATAACATACCACAGGTTTCAAACAACTATATTATTATTTCCCACAATTCTGTGGGTGGGCACACTACTGTGTTGGCTGCAAATGGGTCTGCAGTCATTGTGGGATCTTGGCGGGGTAAGAATGTTTTAAATAACTTACCTGGTCAGGTATCTTTGGAGGAACAACCAAGAGGCTGAGCTCAGGGGGGCCCTAGAGTGATGGGGGGATGGGTAGAAGGGACTCTCCCATTCCTGTAGACTCAGGCTTCTTCAACAACCTGATAGGGTGGCCAAACTTCTAGTGAAGTTCAGTTTTCTCCAAAGCACAAAAGCAGCAGCTACTTCTAAAGATTTGGGTCCCAGACTAGTGCTGTGTCACTACTGCCACTTTTTGCTGGTCAAAGTCAATCACAGGCCAGTTCAAGTTCACCCGGGGATCCAAAGACGTGAATATTGGAGCTCATGGTCCAGCAACAGCCATCTGCGGAGGGAGCATAGCTAACGTGCTGCAGTCAGCGCATCCATTTAAAAAGGCATTTCGGTATCAGTTATCCGTGGATAATGAGGACCTCCTACAGCTGTAATCACTTCAGTGAGTAGTTTCTTAAAGCCTAATGGGTTGTGATGTCAATCGCAACAGTCAGTCTGCTTTTAACAATCACAGGCCTTAAGTGAAGGAACTCATTTGTAAGAAAATTAGATCCTCAGTTTGACTCATAAACTTCAGTGCTTTATTGTTAGTTGTTTTTTTTTTTTTTAAGGAACGAGTTTAGGTTCATTTGCTTAAGGATACTCAGTAAATATTTGAAAATATTTCTAACTTTGGTGTATAATAATCATTTTGAATACTTGTATGGTGCATTCTAATTTCAGTAGTACTATTAGGTATCATCTTATTTGCTTTTTATTTCAAATCTTATGCCATTGATCCACAGATATTATTTCAGTTTGCAAGTGAGGAACTAACTCATCATCAGCTTTTGAATTTTCTACAACCACAACAGCTAGCAAATATTGAAGACAGAACTCGGCATTCAGTGTTCTTTCAAACAACCTGTCTCTCCTGTAGTTTTCTTTAAAACTTAGAAACCTCTGAAATTTAAAGTCATTGATGCATTCTGTTCTCCGAGTATAAGTATCTATGCATTCATATGTATATAAGACAGATTTCAAAAATCATTCTTATGGAATTGCCTTTATTGACAGCTAATGATCTATAAAAAAGTCTACAATATCCTTTTCCAAGTTAAAGAGGATCACAGAAAAACAGATGTGAAGTCATCTGGTCCAACCCCTTCTTTTCACAAATCAGAAAACAAGTTCAGAGTGGTTAAGTTACATGCGCAAAGCAACCAGCGGTTTAGTGGAAGAGGCAAAAACTCTTGACTGTGAATCTACTGCTCTTCCAACTCAAGCAAATTGTTAGGGGAAAGGAGGTCCTGAGCGAATTCCATATAGGCTTTGTGGATGCCACCCCGAACTCCAGCAAGACACTGGGAACTACAAATCCCATGATCCCCAAAGGGAAGTTGTGAGGCCCTAAGGGCGGAGTTAAGCAGCCATTTTCTCTGTTTGTAAATAAAAACCAGCCATGTTAGTGGGGTCTGGGGGCACTTGGCTTGTGCTTTTGGCCAGGCAGGTTTGGGCTTAGTGGGTCATTGGGATTCAGGTTGGTGGAATGGGTAGTATGCATGTAAGAATTTATCTTCCTCTTTTCTCCCTGAGTTGTACATTTCCTCATTCCCCATCCCTTGTAAATAAACCTTTTGTTAACCTTTTGTGTGTGCCTGCAGTTTAAGTTCCCTTTAAGTGCATGGGTGAGGACCCACAGTCAGGCAACCCGTTTTATGTTGCGGTTGCCCTGTAACAAAACCACCTCAAGAATAGCCTCTCAAATGAAACAGAGAGGAATAGAAATATTTCATATGTTTAAAACATTAATGTGTGACTTGTCAGAAATTAAAATAACACAAATGTTAAGCTTTTTAATGACTAAATTCAGTTTAGGACCAGCTGTGCAATTTGCTCAAAATGTTGTTTCCAGGAGACAACCTATTGTTGGGAATCGGTGAAAAAGAAAATTTCCTCTATAAAAAAATATGATAGCTAACTTCAATGTGGGGAAGTTTTTAGGAAGAGAAAGAAGCTAAACTTCTTTACCTAGCAACTCAGTATGTGATTCACTTCTAGGACTGTATGTTAACAGCAAAATCTAAACATTTTCATCAAACATTCTCACAGCATTAAGCATGGAATCTGAGAAAGTGGAGGTGCTTGAATGAGTCAAGTCTCAGTTCTTCAAGGGAAGAAAAACATACAGGTCAATTACGCAGACAGCATCTTGACCATACAGTGCTTGTTGGGACTCTCATTTGTGATTCTGAGAAGTCATGAGTGATGTTGCATTTTGACCTGAGTAAAGATGCTGGGCTTTTCCTCCCTCTCTCTTTCTATCCCTTTCTTTCTCCTTGCACCCCTCCTTTTCCCTCCTTTTGTTTTATTAGGGAGAAAATGTTTTCAGTTTGTTGACTAAACAGAGAAGAAAATCATGATGGAAAAATTCCATCATTCTGCATGTGACACTGACCAGTTAGCCCTCTGGACCCAACTAAAGTCAATTAGCCACAGGTATGAGCTCTTCGGTCCTCAGTAGATTTCTAACTTTAAAACCTACTTGACCTGAATGGGACTATCTGTTTAGATGAAGTGCACCCATCCAGGAGGGCAGGATAGACAAGTCTTGGATTGACAAGATGGGGGAACTTTACCAGGAAGACCTGGCTGCAAATGTCTTCTTCCAGGAGGGTTACTTCCTGGTCTATCTCTGTCAGGTTATCTTCACTCCTTCCTTAGTCAGATGGAAAAAAAAGAGAGAGTGAAGAAAACTTGGGAATGAGACCATTTTCTTTTGAATATAAAATACGAACTCATTTGTATCACTGAACAACTTTGTTTTATTTATGTGACCATGTAAAGAACTTGCTGGCTTTGTTATTGCTCTGTGTACTGAAGTGGTTGGCTTTCTTTTCCTTTTTCAGATGCAGCTATTGATTTCTGGGTTGTTTAATATGAAAAGTTACAAATCTCCATGCAGTAGAACCGTTTAACCATACATATCTGGGAAAGTGTGTTTGAGGAGGAAATCGGCCATTGTTCCGCTACCAGATCAATGCTGTTTGAGAGCAGGCCTGCCCCACGTGTGAACCTGCACACAATGGATGTATTCAAACGAGCTTTAAAAAATATTGTGCTGTTTTAAAAATATGTTGGTCCCAAGTCAAATGCCAGCTTTAAGTGCAGTGTTTAGAGAGTACTGCCTCACTGTGTGATGTAACCCATAAGAAAATAGAAGTGCTGACACATTTGGACAATCCAACATTTTTTTTTCTTAGGAGCTAATTTATTTGGGGGGATACTTTTATAGCACCAGCAAGTCCAGTTGGAAACTTCCATCTGCTGTGCCTCTTACGGCTTTATCTCACCATCTCACTGGTGTCATCTCAGACCAAGCCACCACCCAGCTTTTTCCAGATTCTAGCAACACCCCCTGTCTCTATGCAGGCACACTGGCCCCCTTCCATCCACTGTCCACATAGCTGCCAGGTTGTTCACTTGCTATCTTCTGCACAGAACTCGGAAACGCTTTCCCATTTTTTATCAGTTAGGGTTTAACAGGGGAAAGAAAATAGCTCTAAGTGAAATGGAATAAGGGATTTATTAAGGGGATTAGAAATTATATAGTTGTTGGGGGAGTGAACCAAAAATCAATTCACAAAGCATCAACTGGCCAATTGAACCATTGCTTCTAAAATTGTAAATCAAATTTCTTCAACAAGGTCTAGGAGCTGCTGCAGCAGAAGCAAAGGCAGGAAAAGGGCATAGGTCTGTTAAATAGGGAGGAGGGTGTAGGCATTTAAGAGAGAGTCTACTCATTCATATGTAAATTATTCCACATTCTAAAAGTCCTGCCTTCTGAAATGTGAAATGTAACTGAGATGGATATTCAACCTCGGTAGGCAGAAAAATCTTAAGTATAATGGCCAGGATGAAATAGCTATGAAAATCTCAGGGCAAAATCTCAGTGAAATAAAATTAAAATTGTTCCCCAACTACTCACCCAACAGTAAATGTCCAATAATTCAACCACTTTGTTATATATTTTATAAAAGCTAACTTATGCAAATGTTTTTTTTAAAAAAGATAAATTCTATTAGACTAAGCAACATAAAACAGAAGGAGAAAGACAAATACTGGATGATTTCACTCATATGTAGCAAAGGAACAGAAAAATCCAACAAAACAAATCCTTGAAATCTGACTGCAGAACTGCGGTTATCAGAAGGGGAAGGACAGGTGGGGAGCAAAGTGGAGAGGGGCCCCAATGGACTGGGGTGGAGGTAGGTTGGTGCTTTGGTGGTGGGTGTGGTGCGATAGTGTACACTTGAAGAGGTCTAAACCTATACTGCGAAATCATATTCAATGATGGAAACCAATGTTACCCCAATAAAATCAATTTAATTTAAAAAGGTCAAATCCTAAATATCATCTCTGCTATTTTGGCTCAGTACTGTAATACTGATTCACTTTCTCTTCTTGTGTCCTTTTTTATTTTCCTTTAAAATTCTATTTTCTTTTTTTGTCTTTACAGCCATCAGTCCATCAGTCTCCCTGACTGTTCAGAATTCATATTTGGAGTACAGCAAAGCTGTTGGCAAGTGTGTGTACAACCCGGCTATCCCTTTACCCACCAGCTCCTGTGCAGGTATGTGCAATGCTGGAGCTCTCCCTGGTTGCTCTGCAAAATGCCGGAAACATGCTGTTTTTTGTGAGGGATCACTGCTTGCAGTTGTGCAAAAAACTCTCATTGCTCATTCCCGTCCTCCTTGGGCTGGGAATGTGCCTGTCTATGGTGGAAGACCTTTCATAGCTCCTTGTGTGTACTGAGAAGAGAAGAACTTCTAGGCTGAAGGTAGACCAAGAAAGGCTTCCTCGCTGCACAGGAATCATAAATCCTACATACATGCTTTATCCCACTGAAAGACATATTCAAGTTTTGAGCATTGTTGTTCTTAATCTTTTCTTTGCCTTTAAGTTTGGGTTACATTGTGGTGATCATAGGAAATACCAACTAGTTCTGCTTGAAAGCACTGGAGGAATTTCCCAGAAGAGATGACATTTCTTAAGTGATTTTTTTCTCACAAAGACTCATAGCTTGTGAGCTTGAAACTTACCAACATTGCTCTTTTAAATATATCAATTAAAGATGCAGTTTGGTACTTTTCTAGTGAAAGTGATAATGTTTTATCAGTTTACCCACATTTTTGGCCCCTGGTGTCTCTCTAGGAGCACATCTGTGAGATCATCAGCTAGAAGGAAAGAAAGGGTAAATTAACTCATATGGAAGATTGAATTTATTAATGGTACTATGATTTCATCAACCTAAGGAACTAGCTACATATTCCTTGCTCTCCGTAAAAGGGAATCAAGCTGTAAACGGTGAGTCCCTAGACATCATCAGTGAAAAATACTTCACTGTGTGGTGATTGGCAGCTAGGAAAGTGATTCTCTAAATAGACACCATCTTTTTTCATCATGGCTACCACTGAAACATGTAGATGTGGGAAGTAAGTTTGGTTTACAGAAGAACACTATCCAAAAGAAAAAAAAAAAGAACAATCATGCTAGTCACAAATCCTAGAATTCCCTGTCAGACAGTTTATATCTATCATTTATGCACTGTGGGACAACACATGTCAAACACCTGACTCATTGCAGTGGCTTGACAGAAATTGGCCTATACTGCAGTACTGCTTTTTCACCAACCCTAATTTGTTTTCACCTTGTCTTAGGTATATATCTTTTATAAACTTGCCCTCTACACATTGCTCCCCAAATAAGCTCTTATCAACTGAATGCTCTGGAAAGAAATTACTTAGGAAATACATAATAGTTTCTAGAACTAGCGTAACAAGGCTTCTGTTTGTTGAACATGTGCTATGTACCAGACACTTTCACAGGCCTTTTAACTTGTGGTATCTAATTTAATTCATCCTTCTGACAGCCTGTGAAATGTGCATTGTTATTCTAACTTAAAGATGAGAAAACAGACCTAAGAAAGTCAGAGGAGACCTTCAAAGGAATGCTGGGGAAATAGTTTCACAATGTCCTTTAAAGTACAATTTGAAAGCTTTGAAAGATCCTCTTTTGCTCAGTTCCAGTCAATGTTTTTCACCGTCCTGTTAGGCTGTGTGGGTTGCTGTTTCTGGCAGTGGTTTGTGCTTGGCCACGAAGGCGTGTGTCTTCGCCATCTTCAGTAGCACCTTTTTCTTTCCAAGCAACATCCCTTCATTTAGGAAAGCTACTTTCAAATGAAAGCTCTGGAATTGGGTTCTTGCTGTCACTGATAGGGACTTGGTGAATAATTAATTTGTGCTACAAATGAAAGTAAATAGAGGATAGAGAGGTGTTTGCTCCTTTCAGAGTCAGAAGATTTCAGTTTCAATAAATCATAGTTATTTTCTTTATGAGTAAGAACTTTGTTTTTTAAGTATTCTTGAAGTATGTTTCTGTGTGCCCTAGACAAAATGAAACATCTGAAGTGGAGAAGTTTGTTTCTATTTTTCCTTTTTTTCATTATTAAATTTAGCTGTCACTCTCCCCCTTGTTTGTTTGGGAGCATAATCTGTGAAATCATCAAGGTCAGAGATTTTGTCTATGTCTTTTTGTCTTTTAATAGCTCCACATTCTAGTACATGGTGGGCCTTCAAAGGGAATTTGTTCACTTGGATAGTGCATGAACAGTGGAATGATCAGTAATGTCAGTATATTTAATTTAGCTGAAAAATGACAAAAGACTTCAAATATATCGTTGGTTTTGATATATGGTATTGATTATAAAGAGTTTTTTTTTTAATGGAGATTCTTGTTGAATTACCCAAGAAAGCACAACTATGACTAATGAGATAAAATTAAGTGAACGAAAAATGTGAACTGAATATCAAGAAATATTTCCAGTAGATAAGGTTGGGATTAAATCAGGCAGAGGACTCCCAGAGGAAGTGGTCGGGGGACATTTAACACCATGCATGTCACTTAGAGCTGTAGTGAACTCAAACAATTTACAAGGGACAAGCTCTGACTTTGGCAGGATGATAAGTGAGATCATATCTCTAGTTTCATTGATTCTCTTTCTTGCACAGGTATGCGTTCACAGCCTCACATCCCCTATGGACACAATTTATGTATGTGTTAAATTTTCTGATTATAGTTTTCTTTTCTCCAGAAAATACTCTTTTTCAGAGTATCTCCTGGTGCCATCAGAAATGTCTTCCTTAAGTGGAAAGGTCCAAACTGTTTTAGGCCTTGTGGAGCCAAGCAAACTGGGCCGAACCCTGACCCACGAACACTTGACAATGACCTTTGACTTCTGTTACCATCCACCTTCACCAAGCCATGAAGCTACCTCTAAGGAACCTATTATGCTGAAAAATTTATTTTGGATTCAGAAAAACCCTTATTCCCATAAAGAGAATCTCCAGTTGAATCAGGAGACAGATGCCGTAAAGGAGGAATTGTTATATTTTAAAGCCAAAGGCGGGGGGACTTTGGTGGAGAACACAACCACGGGGATTAGCCGAGATGTACAGACTTTGAAGTGCCTTGCGGAACAGACTGGTGTCCATATCATATCTGGAGCTGGGTTTTATGTGGATGCAACTCACTCTCCAGAAACTAGAGCCATGTCAGTGGAGCAGGTAAAAAGCCTTAAGTTTTTTTGACATTATTTGTGTATAAATTCAGAATAGCCAAAACCTTAGACCTTGGGTTATCCCTGCATGTCATCTACATTTGAAAATGTCATTGTTTCAGAGGTAGCTGGGCACACTGTAGAAATTTCTAGCTAGCAAGGATACCGGCCAATTGCAACCTAAATTAGGAACAATTTATTTCCTAAAGAAACAGGGTCTGAAGGAGATCTTAATGTTCTGGTCACTGTAAAACCCAATGTGTTCATATTTGGAATTGTTTGCATCATATATTGGTTCTTTAGTGGTGCTACAGTCTGTTTGTAAACCCCAGTTTTCCATGAAAAGCTTCAGTTATGCAACCATGATTTTTCTTTCTGGATTTTATAATAACCAACAATAAAAATTCACTGTAGGGTGAAACTTGGCAGGCAGAGCCTTGGCACATTTGTGAATATGTTTTCTTCTCCTTTTACAAAACAGGAGGAGTAGAAGAAAATCCATTCCCTTGTTTTTATAATAATATGATCTTAAGTAAGAAAGAAGTAAACCCTTCAGGACAAAGAGAAAAGAATGAGCTGCAAAGTTTTTTGCATGCATATGTATTCTCATTTCACACACACATGTGTATATATTTATATATGATTATACATGTATGTATATATTCATATGTATCTTCCATTATCTGTTTGAATGCCATAGAATGTTAGCTGCATTTTTTGCAAAGAATCAGTTCATCTTTAAAATATTTTGCATTTTGAAATCTTATTTGCTTTATTTTCGAATTAGGGCTTCCCATTTTTATATATTAACATTATCTGAAGACTTGTCATGATGTCATGATTGCACATTCTTCCAATTATTCTTAATAATAAGTATAATATATGACCAAAAAATATAACATTAGTATTGTATGCTATAAATTTTACATTCTCTATAAAATAAAGGGCTGAATAAATAAGGAAATATTAAAATAATTAACATGATGTAGTTAACAGATTCAAAGGCAGTCTTTTTTTGTCTAAATGCTCCTCAGGTTAACGTAGATTTTTTTTCCCCCTTAATGTGAATGTATTCTCATTAAGTCACTTTATCCCCTAAAAGCTACCTTAGCCATACATTTCTTGTTAAATAATCACAGTAAGATATTGTTCAATTTTGATTTATAATGACATGTTGAATTTGAGATTTGACCAGCAAGCAAAATGCCTCTTTCATTGACAATATCAGTTGACTGAATGTCGAATATATTTTTTAAATAGTGAATGATTAAATGAACAAATTCATTCACATACTGTGGTTGTGTGAATGCATTGCATTGATAAACTCCAGTGCTTAAAAGGTTTCATTCTCACTCTCAGCTAACTGATGTCCTCCTTAATGAAATTCTCCATGGAGCTGATGGAACCAGTATCAAGTGTGGTGTCATTGGAGAAATTGGCTGTTCCTGGCCTCTGACCGAGAGTGAAAGAAAGGTTCTTCAGGCAACAGCACATGCACAGGCTCAGCTTGGCTGTCCTGTCATCATTCATCCTGGACGGAATGCAGGTTCACCATTTCAGATTATCAGAGTACTGCAAGAAGCAGGTGCAGATGTCTCCAAAACGGTTATGTCGCATCTTGATAGGTAAGCAGGCCATCTAGTATTAGTGCAAAACCACCAGATGATGAATGGATGTTAAAATAGATAAATCAGCAGATAGGAAGTACTGGATCACCTAGAGACAACCACTAATGGCCTGGAAGGTAGGCCAGATGGTCTGCCAACTTAACAATGGTTCATTTGACTTGGGATGTTTGTACTTGATGATGGTGTGAAAGTGATAAACATCCAGTAGGACACTATTTAGAATTTTGAAGTTTGAGCTTTTCTCTGGTGAAAGTATGCAGTAAGATACTCACTCGTGATGCTGGGCAGGGGCCACAGCTCCATCTGTCACATGATCATGAGGGTAAAATACTGATACTCTACAGTTTTTCAGCATCAGTATAGTATTCAATAAACTACATGAGGAATTCAAAATGTTATAATAAAGTAGACTTTGTATTAAATGATTCTGCCCAACTATGGACTGATGTAAGTGTTCAGAAGTAAAAGGTATACCCCATTTATGGGCTGGTGAAAGCTATATCTCCATTTATCCATAGCCTATTCAGGCCCCAATGCTATCTCAGTCGGCTCATGTAGCAACCCCCAAACCCCTACAAATTCTAGCTCTAAGTTTACCTTTATTCCTCATTTTCTCTACTTGTTTTTGTCCCTACTCTCTCCCCTCAGCAATCCTTTACTTCCTACCAGATCAACCACCTGCTTAAAAATACGATATTTCCCTCTCATCTTATTCAGAATTTTACATGTACTAGACTGGAAAGGTTCCCTGTTGAACATTTAGTGTGCTATTCTGCTTGAAACTGGCTCATGATGATTGTCTTCCTAACTCTGTTTCTAGTTAGACATGTAAGTTAGAAAAGTATGCTGAAAAAAGCTTTCATTGGAAATAGTGAAACCATAACTCCTAGCACATGTTTATTCCTTTCTGACAAAAATCAAACATTTATATGTACATATATATATGTATACATATACATATACATGTATATACATGTATAAAAATACATGTGTTTTTTTTCTTTTAAACAATAAAACCTCACTATCTGATTTTTATTAACTGCCATCTCAATATCTCCCTCTGGAAAGTCTCGGGATGGAATGCTCTACATTCCAGATCAATCTCTGTTGATCTGACATCAGAAATACTCTCAGAGCATCCTAGAAAATCCTGAGACCATTTCTGGAGCAGTCACCTATTTTGTATCCAGATTGTGATTATTCAGGATACCTGGTGCCTGAACAAGAAATACACAGAAGTATGAGCCTTTCCCTGGAGGTGTAACTGGGGAAAATAGCTTTAGGAAAAGTAATGTATTTGGTAAGCCAAACTGAATAAAGTAACAGGAAAAAGTCATCTGAGGCAGATGCAGGCAACTTTAGCTCCTTGGGGTGGTATTCACACAATGCAGCAGCTAGGCCGACTATGGGGGTCAGCCTTTCCTAGGCCCTCAGAGGTCTGCTCAGCTGTATGCACAGCCTGCTGTGCGCTGAATAGGCCAGGGCACTGGCTTTTATAATGAGGACAAACTGCAAAGAGGCAAGTTTTTCATGCAACAAAATCACGAGCAACACACACAAAGAAGAGCATCCTGAGAACAAGGCCTCTGGAGGCAAAATAAAAAAACAACCAGAGAGTCCTTTTGTTCCTCACCCCATTCCTTTTTAGGCATAAAGGAGAAAGTTCTGAACCCACAGGCTGTAGGGATCTCGAGGTAACACGTGTTGGTGGTAGATCTGCCTGCAGCCCCTTTTAGGCAACTCACTGGCCAGCAGGACGCTCAGCCTTGCCACCTGTAAAACTGGCTCGCGCATGCCCTTAAAGGTAGAACTTCTATCATTTGAGAATACAAAGTAAGATATTCCAGTATGTCCACATTGGCATCGAAGCATTAGCAGTTAAGTATTTTTGAAGGTGTATAAATCTAATGCATTTGTGCATAAGCCATTTTACCTTAAAATGCACTTGCGCGCACTTGTCAACAATCACAAAAGTGCTGTAAGACTATTCATGGGAGAAGTTGGGATCCCAAAAGGGAAACGTTAATAAATGGTCACCACCTTAGGATACTGCTGAACCACACTGCTGTCATGTGACCATTTGTGACCTGCTCCAGGTCATTTACCTGGAGATAACAGCCTGACAAGATAAATCTGCTTCTGTGTCTAGGCCCTCCCCTCACCATCTGTTGTCTCTAAGAAATATGGGCCTGTGGAGGTACAGATGAATGTAACCCCAGAGAACACCAGAGGGAGCTGCCCTTGACAGTTATAGCCACCCAAGCCAACATTTATCAGAAATAAAGCCACACCAGTGCCTAAGTGTACCTGTTAGGGCTTCTAATTCATAAAGACTTTTGCCTTTTAATCATTTATTGTACTTTTACTACCTGTTAGAGCTCTAGCCACATTTCCAGGTGGTAAATAATCACAGTAGTGCCTCTGCCCACAGCCTAATACAGCCTGTACATGATTGAAGAAGACCCCACAGAGACTCTCTGATTCATCTCCAAGGAAGATCCTTCATGGATTATAGAGTACTGTAGATATTTGATGACAACAAAGGTCTTTTATTACCAGGGAAAGTTGGGAAAAATAACATGGCTGGAAGGGATTTGGCTACTATTTACTGATTAAACCTTTGAGGTCCTGGAGTGGGTGACAGGTGCTAGGCCTCACTCTTTTTTCTACTTGGTTATCTATTAAACAAACCAGAGTACTTTGATGGAGATCCAGGGCCTAAAGTTTGATTAGGGGCACATTAATTAAGTGCAGGGAAATAGTACATCTCTCTCTATGAAAATAACTCCCTGTGGAAGGTAGAGGAATCTGATCCAAGGGTTTCTGAGAAAGAAAGGAGAGCACAGGGGTGGGGCTGAACACACATTTATTTTCTTTACCACTGATTATTCATGCCAGATTTGAGCATTTCTTTAAAGGATACAATTTTGACACCTTACTCCACGCTCTTAAATAGATGAAGTAAGAGGCTGGAATATCACATCATTCATTCATTTATTCATTCATTCATGGATTATAGAGTACTGTAGATATTTGATGACAACAAAGTTCTTTTATTACCAGGGAATGTTGGGAAAAATAACATGGCTGGAATGGAATGCTCTACATTCCAGATCAACCTCTGTTGATCTGACATCAGAAATACTCTCAGAGCATCCTAGAAAATCCTGAGATCATTTCTGGAGCAGTCACCTATTTTGTATCCAGATTGTGATTATTCAGGATTTATTGTGATTATTCAAATATTTATTGAGAACCTAATGACTGTATGCCAGACCAGGGACATAGCAGGAGCAAGACCCATTCTCTACCATCAAAATGATTATTTAATTATAATTTTGGTGACTTTTTACCTTCAAGTTATCCTTGCAACTACATACTGTTAGGTTCTATGAATACTAACGAATTGATATGAAATCATTAAAAAATAATTACAGGGAAATTTAGAATGAGCAAGCATCTTTATATATTTAAATACTATGGTAGCATTTTTCAAAAAGAACAACTGGAATGTTATACACAGCAAATGGTTTAATTCCTTAGAATCCTGTGTGTCCGGTGCTGCATTTCTCAATAGTTTATTAACAGGATTATGTGTATGCATGCATTATGTGCATACTGTATACAGTAGGCATTGAGAGGAGTGTGTATTGTATAGCATATACATTGTGCACATTATGTCTAGTAAAGGTAACTTACTTAGTATTTAGTAAAAATATTGATTCATTCCAACCAGAGAGTGAGAAATTATCTAGTTCAGACAACAACATGGAGGCCTGCTAAGCAAGTCAGAAATTTGCAAAGAAAATATGTACTAATAACATTTCATCTACTAATGTCCACTGACACTTCTTCTGCTATCACTATAGAAGATAATTAGAAATATAAGAAAAAGTAGCTACTTTTAAGCATGTCCTCATGGCTACTAGAATATTCTTGAGTATGAGTGTGGATGAATTTTATTTTAGATTCTATGTTGATCTGTAGACAGTACTCACTGACATAGAAACCCAAGCCTTGAATTCATTTCAGGTTGAAATTGTGTGATGACATTGGCAGCAGCTATTCTTTTATTATGCAATGTATATTCCACGTCTGCATGGGAAGTGGGGAAATAAGGGGTGCTGGGGTCAGATTGTCTAATTTCTAGTACTGACACTAGTACTTACTTGCTGTATGACCTTGAGCAAGTAAGTCACTTAAGCCTCCAAGCCATTTGCTCCTCTGTCAAAGGGGTTAAGAACAATTAGTTTAACCCTTTAAGTGTTATACAAATCTTCTCTCCCTTTATTGTTTCTCAAAAATTCCTCTCTGAGCAACACCTATTTAAAAAGGAAAAGAAATCCAGGCAGACATTTCAGAAACTGAAATATAGCAACATTTCATAATTTATATAAAATAGTGTTGAGTAAAATGCAATTAAGTCATCCTGATAATTGATATTTGTTAGGTACCCCCCAAAATGCACTCCAACAGAGGCATTCGGGCCAACCAATCCAATGTCAGGGTAAATGAACACACAATTCATGTATTCCACCCAGTATTTACACCATCCAAACTTCCACTAGTAATTTTTTGCCTTCTAAAGCAATTTTTCATGACTCTGACACCATTCCCATGGAATATGACATTTTAACAAATAGGATTGCTATGTCTATGAGATTTATCTTCACTCTCTTCAATAACATCATTCCTTGAACTGCATATCACCTTACATGAAAAACGCAACCTCTTTTGTGCTGTGTGGCAGCTGGAAATTTCATATGGTAAAAAGCTCTTCCTAGGGTGTATAAACTGTGAAATGTATTTTAAAATAAAGTTTTAATTACATCTTGCAATTTGGAGCCAATTCTAGTGCTAGTCTAATTTAAACAAGGGTTTTTCTTTCTTCCAGCCATCTGTTCCTTTTGCTTAATTCTACACTTGAATCACAATATTGAAAGTATGACATCATTCCTTCCTATGATGTCACTAAACATCTCTATATGCTATGGATG